TTAAGTGGCTGGGAATCTGTCTGTGAAAAATGTAAAATGTACCTTTGGTACACACTGAATACTAGAGCACACTAAAAGATGTTTAATGCCAGTACAGTACATATCAGTATGAGTTCTTCAGGGACCCCTTCTTAAAGGGATTGGGGGTTTTGCTATTTACTTCAGTGGCAATAGAACGCAGTTTTAATTTACTGTGGCCTTAACACACCTGATTTTGTGGTGTTATGGTACTGTAACAAACAAAGACAGACAAGAGAAACAGGAGAAGTAAGTTTGTATAGGATAGAATTTATCTTGGTGGGGAGATCAACTATGAGCGCTGCTTGAGAAGCAGTTGGCTACACTTAAGGCTTAGTGTGATGTGCTCTCTTTCTCTCTTGAGCTGAGGTCATCTGAGGACAGATAGGGAGTTTTTACTTCGAGTGGTAGTGAAATGAGGCTCACTGCCTTTTCTGAACATGCTGAACTGTCATCCGCTGTGTCTACATTAAAAACTGTTTTGCCGGGTTAAAATCAATTATTTGTTTTTGCTTTGGATGCCTTGCATTCTTGCTCACAGTTGGGTTGGTGTTATGTGAGAAGGGCAGGGTTGTGGGTTCATACTCATATACTTGTGTAGTTGCAGACATACTTTACCCAAGAAGTAAAACAGTCCAAAACCTCAGATCAGAAGATGAAGATATTTTTCAAACCCCAAACAAAAGCAATAAATGGAAATAAGGATTAACTTTGTCAATTTTCACCCCTCCCACAATAAATCTCAAAAATCTTGGCTTTTATCTTAGATGCATAACACAATAGGCACCAGAGCACACCAATATTACGCAAATACTTCATGTGCTATCAATTATTTTGGAAGTATTCATCATCTGAATTGTGAAACGGTTTGACCTTTTTTTCTAAGGGAGAGTGTAGGAAGATGAGAGTGTTAGGCTGACATATTCTTTCTCTTGTACTTGTGTAGGTACATTTAAAAGTAATTTTGGAATAACATAGCAGTCAGTAGGACTCTCGGTACCCAGCCCCTCCTGGCCTGTGGAATCGCGTGGAGTCAGAGACGATCTGTGTTACATGAGAGGAAAATAGGAGTGAAGTGAGAAATAAGATTTAGTGTGCTGCTAAAAAGTGTTTGGATGTTACGAAATCAAGAGAATGCAGGGATGCAGCCATGCAACCCTGACTGTTAGTGGCTTCCAGTCTGCAACTACTAGGGAAGGCTAATGCCCCAGGCCTGGAGAAGGGGACTGGTACAGGAGGAGAGCAGAGCAGAGCAGAGCACCCTAGACACATGCCTAGGGTGTGTCCTCACGGAAGGGGTTCTTGTAACAGATGCCTTGCTAAAATAAAAAGGCGGGTAAGATGAATATGCAGGTTGTGATGAAATAACAGATATAAATTCCATGAAGAATTTCCAGAGCCATCTTGATTTTCAGATTTGATGAACTTATTGATTCAAAGTGATGTACTGTGGAACCACTTTGAACAATCATCTTTCCCGAGTTTGATACTCTCCATTTTAGTTATGCTGCTAGCCATGTCTGAGTTAATGTTTTACATATTTTTCTTATGTTTCTCAAGACCATCTCTTTTTAGTCATTAGCACAGATTGATTCCATCAACATTTCCCCAATTATTTTGAGCGTCAGAGTACGTAGTGCCCAGAAAGCGGTATGTCCTGTACTGTTCTCTCAGTTGTCAATGCTTGATTTCTTCTGTAGCTGGATTCCATATATGGATGTCAATGCTTGAATTTTAAAATTAATCATGCTGGGTAGGTGAATGCTGAATTAAATTCGGTATTTTCCAAAGGTCAAACATATCTCTGAGCACAAAATCTATATATTGCAAGTCCTATGCTGTCTCCCCAGCATACTGTTCTTGCCCTACTAACAAGTCCTGAAAACAGTTGCGGCTCTTGAGATTAAACAATTTAAATACGCTGATAGTTTGAGCATCCTGCTGATCCTTCTAATCTGTCTGTTTGCATTACCCAGGTTGTGATAATTTCTATACCTTTTCAATTTAGCTCAGATCAATGCTAGTGTAAGTTCTTTTGCAAAATTCTGCAGAAGACATTCCTGAGAGAAGACATGAAAGAATGAACTACTGCAGCGCTGGAGACATGGCTGTCCTGCTGCAAGCTTTACGTGTCTGATTTTCAGACATAGTGAGCAGTCAGGGCTCAGTGTCAACCCTGTGGATGCTGAGTTACAGAAAGCTGCACTGGTCCAAAACAGACTTAAATGGGAACAACATTACCACCCCTATGGACTAAACACTGTAGCATACTGCAACAGTTAGTTAATTGAGGCAAACTTGTCTGTGGAGGGCCACGCAATCCCTCCGAGTTCACTGAGACTCCCATGAGTGCACTCCACAGAGCTTCTCGGGCCCGGTTGTAAGTGCAGAGCTTACTGCCCGGTAAGGCAGAACTGCTTATAACCTGCAAACCTCTCTCAGGTTTTCGATACAGCGGCGTCTTAGGTGCACTGCCGAAGTCCATGTGGTTCAAGCTCGCACTTGAAGTGTTAAGGATGCGGGTGAGTGCTGAAGCCTTACTTGGCACCCTGTCCGGCGGTCTCAGTCTTGAATCTGGCTCTTCCATAGCTGAGTACCTGATTCCACGGCAGGCGGCCACGCACTGCACCCAGCCAGGCACGCGGGTTCGGGCTTTCTCTGGGGTGGCGGCAGCAGGACTGCAAACAGGGAACTGAAACCAAACATCTTGACCAAGCAGCATCGTACACAAAACATCTTGTTTTATTATCAACTTCAGAGTTTATTAACTTATCAAACCAGGCCAAAGTGATACAACAAGTACATAAATAAGTACTGTAACAGACATACATCCCATTAAGAGAATGAAAAACATGACACTGTCTATTTTGTTGTCTTAAGTGACCAGCGACTGGAAAAATGCAACACTGCATTTTACTAAATTATGCATATGATTTTTTTTTTGCTTTTCTTAGAAAGTGTTTATTATAAAATAAATACACAATCTGGATTCCACCTGTTCTGTCACAAATACAAAAAGCGGGTTGCCTTCTTTTTCTTCATAAAAAAAAATTACAAACACTGTACACTTTCCACTTAGTCTTTTTTCACCAGCTACTGCTACAAACAGACGATGCCCATGAGGTGAGAAATCAGCTGCTGGTCTTCCCACCAGATTGCTACCGTTCCTCAGAACCTCTTCCTTACAAGGTCTTCACCAAAGGAACGATAAGGTTAATCATGACTTATTAGAAGATTTACAATAAAATTTTGCACTTCTGCAGCACATTTCAACCCAGTAGACGCCACATGCAGTGGATGTTGCTGATGCCAAACTGCCTCTTCTGCAATTATGCTGCAGTAACCTCCGGTGCAGTGAGGTCTTAGGACCTCGGTGAGGACGCGCTACACCCCTTTCAGCCACCAGGACAGGATTTATGGAGGCTGCAGTCACGTGGAAAGGTGGTGGGACAGTTCACTTCGCTCTCCTTTTAATTAACAGTGATGCGGGATTTCTAATGGCCAGGTGCTGGTTAAGACTGCACACTGTAGCACGGTATCAGTGCTACCAGCTGCCGTGTCAGCACCTGGGCCCGGGCACAGCAGCGGGGCTGCAGGGCCCCTCTGAGGAGAGCTGAGGCGCTGCACTGTGCCAGACACGGCCGGGTCCAGCCGGGTCCGGCCGCGCTCCCCCAC